CACCTGTTTACACATATATACTTTGTTGGATATAATAGTATATTTAATTGCATGGTTAAATATATTAGTTTCATATTTCAACCCCACTACATTTTCCATGTCCATTTTTATACATTTTGTAGCCAGTCCTTTTATTTATTTCTCAGAGAGGTCGGAACTACTTTTTGATAAACATCTTCATTGAGACTCCCGTTATTCTGTATATCTGTCTCGTCGCTCTACGGAAAGTCAGTTCGACATGAAAATAACACATCAGGATTCACCTTCGTTGATTAATTGATTTCATTATCATTCTACTGACAAGCCTTCTTGAACATTCAAATAAAGCTCTTTGAATTAGTTTGAAAGCCAAAACGTTTTAAGTATGTTTTGAGGAAGTATTTTAGCAAATCTAACTAAACAAATTTAATTAATGTCATGTTTCTTTAGAATTTTTTTAAAGAAAATGGCTGTCTCTTCTTAAAATTTCGTGCTTCGAATATTTGATCTTTTGAAATATTTGCATTTTACAGTGGGCTTATAACACTATAAATCGTGTATCGATACCACCAGCAGTGTGCATAGCATAGACAGCCCTTTGTGTAGCTTTATGCTATACAATAAACAAATCAAAAAGCTGATGTTAACGCGTACTATTTAGTAAATATTTTACAATTCGCGGGAAAATCTATCAGCCCTCTTTCCTATTACCATGAGTAGTTTATTTTTGAAGTTTAGTAGAATAATGGACCAAATTAAGCGATTATGCACTACATGTTTCTCGTTATTTCAATTGTTATCTGGGTATTAAAAATTGAAATTATCTGTTACTTTATGAATAAGAACCTAACCTGGCAGAATAATGTTGCAAGTTGGAAGGGGTATTCTTAAAATTACCGTAAGCTGTGTAAGTTACGAAGATAGTTACGACGGTGAATTTTTGGCGGCTGATAACTGAATAAGGTTAACATTGTTGAGTGACCTTTAATCACTTGGTTTGATAAAAATGATTAACTTGTGAGATTAGGTGATTGTAGATCATTAATTAATGTTAATCATACATATTACTGTTTTAATATAATGGAAGTAAGTATGTAAATAAATTTAAATTACCAAGAAATCGCTACAGTTCGGATTCAGATTTTACTAAAAATTGACCAATTAGAGTAAAGGAAAAATATATATGCAGAGGCATAGTTGCCATGTTAGGTAATTGTTGGGAAATACTTGGTTAATTCATAAATGTGAGTAAACCATATACGTATTAACAAAATAGTAATAGGATTGCTATCGCTAAATTTTAATATATTTTCATATTGTTTTGTTTCTTATATCAAACTTTATTGTGGTAAGCTTAATACCCTTTTTAGAATTGTAGAAATATGTTTGAAGGTTGTCTCTTAAGCCTATCGACTTATGCTAAGTAATAGCTGTATACCTTATTGCAATTGTATGCAACTTGTAAGTTACGATCGAAGAATAACTGTATAACTATAACTTATAAGGCGTTTCAATTTTTAGGCCTAAATTTTAATATGCTGTAGGCTTAATAATCTAAAATATTAACAATAGTTTTGAAGGTTTTCTCTTGTTTAATTTTGAGTCTATCGGCTATGCTATACTAATTTAAAATTTAAGTTGCGACCAATTCCAAAGCCTTTTTTAGTTTTTATTTCTTTTGATTGTAAAATGTAACCTGTTACTACTTTACATATAATATATTTCAATTTATTTGTTTAGTGTAGGACTAGGTGCAATATATTGTTGTAGCTCAATATGTGGGCCCTGGCCCTTTTTTTACTACTGAAGCTTGTTTTTTGAGCCTCTTAATCTGCGGTTGAAAAACAAACTTTCAAGGTCACGAATTTGAAGGAACTTACTTAAGTGTTAAGTAATACTTACCTTAATTTTGATGTGACATAAAATAATTCACCAACTCAACCCATTTCACACTAACACTGAGTAACAGTTCTTAAGTGTATGCGAATAATAATATGAAAATCATCTCGACCACCAACTTGTCTGTTGTACCTCAGTTACAATGTGATTAGCATGTTATTATTCACACTGCATTCAGAAGTTCTTTATGGTCATATGAGGATAGGTTAAAATTTCTGAAATTTTCTTTTTAGGAGTTTAAGATTGTTAATGGAATTGATAATGTTCATGCATTAACTTGTTTTCGTATTTAATAGTAATAATGGTAGGACAAAGGGACAGATTTAAACTTTGGTAGGATAGGAGTCATTTTCAGCTGAGACAGCCTTATTTTTATAATGTTGGTTGGCCTGTGGAATGGGTTGCCTTCCGACATTGTAGATGCAGTTAATGTAAATGAGTTGTATGGAAGGCTTGTTAAATATTTCAATGATAAGGGCTAGCTTTGAGTACTTTTACTTAAGAGTTTAGAATAGTGGCTGGGATGACCTAGAAGGACAAAAGAGATTCTTTGTTGTCCTTGAATTATATGTAAGTATGTCAATGTTAAGTAGTCTTCTGTTGATGCTTTGGTTGCAAAATCAATGAATGTTTGGTATGCAAAAAAAAGAGTACCATGGGATAAAGTAGTACAGGCATGTAAATATACATTATTGCAAGGATACTACTTAGCAGAGACCTGCAAAATATGTATAGTCAAATTAGCATCTATATTGAAACCTTACTAATTTTAATTAAATACAGGATTTCTACATTAATACCAAATAATTCTTATCACAGACACCAAAATCTATAAGTCCACTTGTCTTAGGCCTAACATTAGTTAAGCCTTTATTAAGTATGGTCTTTATTTGATAAGGAGATAAATTAACACTGTAACTTGTATATGTTTTTACTTTGCTTCAGTTAGGGCTAAACATTACTGTACTTTCAATAAATAAACTTGTAATATTTGATGATATCATAACATTGTACATTATAGTAAAGTTTTCTTCATTACCTGTTAAAGCCATTTCCAAACTTTTATTAACTTATAATGTTATTCTGTGAATGTTAGACCTTTTTTAAAAACTTTAATAAGCTTTTAATATGTTGTACAAAATGTCTTAAAATATGTTTACATACATTCAAGTGAAGTGCATGTGCATGCACATTTAGGTAGTAAGGTGCATGTGCATTTTAAGGAGAGACAAAAATTGAGTATTATTATTATAATAGCTGTATCACCTTGATATGACTGATCATCATTCTGTTTAAACACAACTGATTTGGAGCACAAAGGAACTCATTCTTCTGTTACCGAACTCATGCTAAGTTTGGTTATGTGTTACTTTTGTGGAAATGTGTCTAACAAGTTGCGAGAGTTTCAGGATAAAAGAATATCAATTTTTAAGGGAGCACAATATAAATGTTAAAATATTGCAGTGTCTTGGGTGAAATATACTCATTCTCAAACACAAAGAATATTACATTTTTGAACTAAGTCAAAACCCTAGCACACTGCCCCATGGCCCTTTTTTTTATTACTGTTTTTGATTAAATAAAATTAAATCAATTGTCATGAAAGTAATCAAAATTAGTGTCTCCAATTATTATTACCAGTTACTCCAATTATCAAAGTCTCATGTGAGAATAACTGATTTGAATGCAATCAATTAATGATCTCTACAATTAATTGATTGTAAAATTCCACTAATAACCCAGCTCTACTGGTGATTAGGATTTAGAATCTACTACCTAGCCATGCATAATACTTCCAACAAACTATGTGATATAACTTCACAGAAAAGGTGTGCGGCTAGTTTAGTGCATGTCAAATTCTTTGTGTGCAAAACATTTTTAAATCTAAACAGTCACTTAGAAGTAAAAAGTTAATGTTAAGGCTAACCTTAAACAAATGTATGTAGTGAAAAATTAGGTTGTATACCATGATATCATTTGAAATATAGTATGAGTATAATAACAACTCAGCTCCATTAACCAATCACATTCAATTAGCTGATCAGTACAGTGTTCCTCAAACCATGGTTACAGACAAATTAGGAAATAAATTTAATGTTGCCAGCATGTCCTTCCAGACAGTTGCCTTCCTACTAGTCAGCAGTTTAAGAAGGAAGAAAAATAAACAAAAATTCTGTGGTGAATGCTGCCAGCCACTTGCTGTGCCTCTAGTCAGCAGTTCAAAATTAGTGACAGTGGCAGATAGCCTTAGCAGCTTTGCCATAACAAAGACAGGGCAAGCAAGTTTGGTGGCAATGGGAATCGAACCTGAGGCCCTCAAATCATGAGCCCCCCCTGGAATTACTAAAGCTGAACAAACTTGAATTAAACAAAATAAACTTATAAGGCTAAGATTGATTGAAGAGCAGATAACCCACCATTTAGTTTTGTGCTTAACAACAGACAAACAGAATAGAAATATTTCAATTAATTTGGTAGTTGGAATGATTGAAAACAGTAATAATTAGAAACACTGATTTAGATTAGTTGATTATTATCATGAAAGTTGATATAATTGTAATTTGGATTAATCAAAAATGGTAATAATTAGAAACACCAATTTGAAATTCTGTAATACTGTTATTCAACAGTTCAAAAATATAACTAATAATATATGTATTATTTTCCAGATTCTCTTTTGGCACATATCAACTGGAAGTAGGTGGGCAACTTTGGTGATCTTGGTTACTGGAACCACTTGTTACAACCTAATGTTGCCAGTATCTGTTACTGTGCAGTTTTGTGTTTGGAGACCACCCAACACTAAGAACCATCAACAACATAGTGGCTATATAAAGCAGACTTTTCAGTAGCAAGTTAAAAATAATTTTTTTAATTTTGTATATTGTTTGTAGTTTTTACATGAATATCTAAAAAGCGTTATTTATTACGATCACTATAAAATATCATACATACTGTTGTGGAAGTGTTATAGTCCTTTTGATTCACATGATATAGGCTCTTATGTTATATTGTTAAAGCATATAGTGGGTAAAAATTTTGTTTTATTGAAATACTAATTTAACTGCCTCAATTGTTAGTTTCAAAATTGCCCAATAATCAAAATTATTATGAGAATCTCGGAAGACTAACTTTTGTAAAGATCAAAATGACGAACAGTCTATGTGGAGTCATTAAAAGATAGTTAAAAAGATATTAGAAACCTAAAGAAGAGTAACAGATTCTGACATCTAAATTCACTTGCTTTGAGCTATTTAATTTCTACAAGTGCCTTTTAATAATTGTTAAAAAACTACACCTGCTCTGAGTCTATCATGTCGAAGCCTCCAAATGAAAACCTTCTAACCTACATTCTTGTTGTGGTTGGTGATGGGGGTGTTGGAAAGTCTGCACTAACCATCCAGTTCTTCCAAAAACTGTTTGTAACAGATTATGATCCTACCATAGAAGACTCTTACATACAGCACACCGAAATAGATGGCCATTGGTGTATACTTGATGGTAGGTGTATACTTCAACATTACTAGACAGCTTTAGTTTTTGAAAATCAAAAATTTTATTTTCATGTGTTCTTTTAAAATCTTTTTGCTTTCATTAATTCTGATGAAAGTTTGAGGTTAAATAGGTGTAAAGAAATCTTGTACGTGTAAAAGGATTGTAAGAGTTCATGAGAGAGCTTGATGAGTACTTGGGAATCCAAACTGAATATCGGCAGATGGGCATTTGATGAAATGAATGGGAGAGTCATAATGGGCCAAGGGATCCTTTGTTGTCCCTGAAATGTTACTTATGTACATAACAGTAACTTATTCTTCATTTGATGGCTGAAATAAACAGGATCTGATATAATGAATTTAATGATGTCTGATGGTCTTATTAAGCATCCTATTGAACTCTGCAGCTGTCCACCATTGGTAAATGAGAGTTTAAAAAACATTAAGATGGTTTTAGTTTAGGAAACAATATGGAATTGTCTCTTTGAGCCATTACTATAAAGCTGCTAAAAAACATTCATATTTTGGAGATTGAATTATTTGAAAAACATAATTAATTTTCAAAATCTTATCTTAACTTTCACTCTAAACAACTCTTGTGTAACAATATTAAGTGTACTTAATTTTGTCTGTCTTTATATGCTTTTGGTTATCTCTTTGTAATTACAAATTCTTGTCGTCTTGATTCATTAACTGATAAATTTTTTATACAGAAATAGAAATACAGTTCAGATATTTTACAGAAATGACAAAAGTTAATGATTGAAATTACTTTATAATTCTGTGGTCATTTGAGTGACAGCTACATGAAAAAAAACCTTCAGGTTTAAAATCATAATGAGTGACTATACTAATTACTGGATAAAAATTATTTCATAAGAACGTTTCTGGTGTTCATTTCTTTTAAAATACTTTGCAAGCTTTCTATGAAATCCATTGTCATATAATGGTTTTGTGATAGTAGTGTAGCAACAATTTTTTTTTCTCTCAAAAATATAAAAACACTCCTGATATATTTTTATAAAATACAATTTTTGTGTTAAAAACTGATACCGACACATTTTCTACCTTAAATTTTCACAAATTATTTAAATTATGCAAGGGACTTTCTCCTTATTGCTTATTTAACCACCCACCAAATCTATTTGGACTTCCTTCATTTTTCATATATCATGTACAGTAATATAAAAAAAGAGCGTTATTTTGATGTTTGGGATGGTAGAAGCCATGGACAAGAATGTAAATTGACTATGTTTACTTTAGAAACTTAATCCGTTTTAATCGTATCAAATTTGTGGGACACTGAACAAAAACACATTAAATATACATTCATTTTTGCTGCCAAAGCAAATGGTAGATTAGTGACAGAGTATATCTGTTTTTTTTTATTATTCTCATGCTCTTTTAAGAATATAAATAAAACAAAATCATTTGCATCATATAACTTGTATAATAAAGTGGAAGTTGCATTATAAGTGAAGTAATTATTGTTACTAAGCTATTGTGTTAGTTGTCATGACAATATGGTTTGCAGGTAAATGGGGGAAAAAAAAATAAAAAAAATATTTACTCCATAAAACAATAAGGAAATAGATATATTTAAGAACTATAAAATTCATGTGTTTGAATTCATTTATTTTAACCATCCTGTATCAATTTTCCCTTTAACCCTATCAGGACGGGTCACGTGTCAAAGGCCATGTCATTGTGTTTGTTGACTCGCATTCAAAATTTTATTGAACTACTATTTTATGAACTTGTGTCCATAAGTTTGGTATCAAATTGAAGATTATAATTGAAATTTTAGTATTATAAATTAGTTTATTTCTTAATTTAAAAGTAAGTATTAAAAAACACAGCTAAACATTGATTTTTGTGTGTCACGTGGTATGTAGAATGCAGCACTGGTTCAAATTAGATGTTTGTGATGTCAAAATATTAAGTCTATAGTTCGTATGAATTAGGAAAAACTACTGATATTGACAAGCTAGAAAATAATATAAAATAAGAACCTCTTATCTTTTCTATTTGCTAAGATACCGCTCGTGTACTGAATCAAACACAGTGCCCTCATACCCACCTCCTTTTTGGAAATGCTCCCTTATATACACTTTTATATATGACATGTAAATAATAAGACAAAAGCTCAGAATGTCCCCTAGTGGTTTTATCAGCCATTTTGATGTATTATTGTGTTAATCATATTCTTTTCATAAGATTTCAAGGGGATAAGGAAAGTCTTTTCACATCCTCCACGTGGGAAATTTCATAAGGCCTAGCAACCCACGTCAAGCAGCAACCAAGTACAAAGGTCGTAAATAGAAGAGATAATTGTTTGCTTTACTTCTTTATTTACTGTTCTATTTTTTAAGAAGAAAAGTAAGTTTAAGAACTTGTTTGTAAATAGTATTAATGTATATAAATATATAATGTATAATAATTGAGTATTTTACAAAATACTAGTCCACTAAAACACAGCCAAGACAAGTCACTTCGCACAGACCAAAATTCAGTTTTATATTATTGGATATGGTATTACAGGTGCACGTATGCTGCGTCATTGTAATTTCTGTATTGTTAGCCAGGCATGGCTGGAAGGTCAATATAATAAATATATATATAATGTTATGAGATTTAAGGTCTTTAGTCTAAACATTTGTGTTTTCATGTTATAATCTGTAGTCATTCTAGAATGAAAAAAGCATAATTTATTTTCTAAATTTTTATGGTGGTTACGAGACTGGTCAGAGTTAGGGTTAAGAAAATAACCGAAAAAATATAAAGTTTTACTGAAAATAAATGTTTGAAATGTATTTAGGAGGTTTTAGAGATTACACAAATAATATTTGAGATTTTGGGGACAAACAGTAGTTTTTTTTATTTATAACATGAAAATCACTTCATACTTGGACTGGTAAGGAAACACTATTTTCAGAAACAAATCTATAATTAAAATACCTCATTAAAAATTGATTTTTTGTGTATGAATGACTTGTAATCTTTACTAAAAGTCTACCAAATTTTGTGATGATACACTGCATTAAAAGTTATACTATATATATACTTAACATGTGCAAATATATATACAAACTTGTGTATATTATACTGAACTTGTCATGAAAGGGTTAATAAATAAAATCTCCAATAAAAATGTTAGATAATTTTACAAGTTTGCTGATAACACCAAATAATTGGAGACATTAACTTTCAACTATAATTAATACAGTAATTATTTTTATATTTTTGGGTATAAGGAAAAGAAAAAAAGTACTTAGTATATAAAAATTGTATGAAAACTTGAACTAATAAGTTTTTTTTTTTTACAATTATATGTTTAACTTTTTTAAATTGAAATATATTCGTTTAAACATGAAATTTGATGGTAAACAAATTCTAAATTGTATACAGCTGTTTGTAGTATATGAACATGTAACCCTTGTTCTCAATCCTTATAAACCACGTACAGAATAGTTTTAGAAGTTGTGGTTTATTTCAGTCTTGGATACTGCGGGACAAGAAGAATTTAGTGCTATGAGAGAACAGTACATGAGGAAAGGAGACGGGTTTCTTCTTGTGTATTCGGTAACTGACAAACAAAGTTATGAAAATATACGAAACTTTCATACACAAATTTTGCGGGTGAAAGACAGGTAAGTCATTTATGAGACATATCACAAATAGTTTTCTTTAAAAAGATTATTATGATTATAAAAGTCAATAGGTTATGTTATATTTGTAGTCTTAATATTTTATTGTGCCCATCAGTCTTTATACTTAGGCCTGGCATGGACTGGTAGTTAGGGTGCTCAACTGACAATATGTGGGTTCGAATCCCTGTCACTGAATATGCTCCCCCTTTCAGCTGTGGAGGCATTATATAGTGATGGTCAATCCCACTATTTGTTGGTAAAAAGAGTAGTAGTACAAGAGTTGGTGGCGTTGACTAGCTGCATTCCCTCTAGTCTATCACTGCTAAATTAGGGATGGCTGACACAGATAGCCCTCGAGTAGCTTTGCACAAAATTAAAAAAACAAATAAAGTAAACTTTATACTTAGATTTTCTGACATAGGTAGTTGTTGTCACAAATAGCTCCTTGGATACTGTGAATGTTGACCTAAAGCTAATATGACTGGTGATTAGCAACATCAGTGTTTGTCCTTGTTGTAATTTGATTGAATTAGTTGCTTAGATTTTTTCTTCAGCATGGATATGAAGCAGATTAAATAAATCCCACATGCTGTACAATTACTGGTTTCTTAAATAGCAAATTGGAAGCAAACTGAATAGAACACTGTATGCTTAATAGGGCGAAAAAATAATGTTGATATCAGTGCAGTTTGTAAGTTTATTTTCTTACAATCTCTAAATACAGTTTTTCTGAAACGTACTGAACTTAGCTCTGATTTACTGTATGTCTTACATTAGTTTTGAAATGCGTCTTGTAACACTGTATTAGCAGGTTTTTAGCAAGCTATTAGTACGCAAGCCTGAAAGAGTACTTTGATCTGAAACAATGATGTGAGGTGAGGCATTAGAGTTATCTGTACAATTACACAGATTAAAACAGTGTTTTTATCAAATTGTGTGAAAATCGGTGGTATGTATGTATGTAATATTCTTCTCCTTTAACAGGGTGCAATGTTTTCATATTGTATAAAGTATTACTGTAAACTTGTACAGAACCAAACTGGAAGATATCAATATTATCTGTAACTGAAACATTTTATGTACAAAACCATTAGATTTATCAAGAACTTGCAAAACCTACATACCATAAAAAGACGGACCAGAAAGTATCCAAAATATTATAAGATGCATATTCTGTGGGATCATGAAATGATCAGCACGTAGCAATGTTGAAATAGACTTGTTTGGTTGAAAAACAAGTCACTCCAGTAATTAGAATGTTGGCCACCCACAAAAATGTTCATAGGTAGGCCTGGCAGGGGTGCATCCACCCATGTTGTAAAATATACTGAAATCAAATGTAAATCTTTTGTATCAAAGTGAATCTAATCAAATTATAGTTTATATATATATCATTAGTACAGAGCTTGAAAGTAGCAGTAATTAGCTGGTAAAAAGCCAGTTGGTTTTAGTGTTTAGCTAGTAAACATCAAAGGACACTGTCATTTTTTCTTACTACATGTAGTTGATAATTTATGCATAATCATAGATATTCAGAGTTATTAAAAAAGAATAACGTTTACGGAAATAACCGTTTCACAATAATTGATCAGTAAGTCTTTTCTGGTAGCGTGTCATTCTCGGTCATCTTTCAGTTTAAAATAACAAATAAAATGATCATCTTCAAATGGCGGTTCAGTTTTATACATATTAGGAAGTATAATTATTATTACAAACATAGATTCACAGTTTGATAGAATATTTAAAAATATGAAATTGAAATGATAATTCTTCCTGGGTATTCAACGTCAACTAACTAGTTATGTACACCAAGGGCAAACAACTTAATTTGTTTTGTTTTTTAAGTGTGGCTGGCACTTCGCATCAATTAACTAGTTATATCCACTAGTTATATAAAAATATCTCACAATGTCTGCACTACATTAACACATTTACATTCAAAGTATAAATAATTTTGTATTTCACAGCATAGGTCATATACATAAATAGAAAGGTAAGTATTCATGCTTCGTTCATCACTCGGTATGCTTCTACTTAATAAATGCCCAAAATACAAAAATCTTTCTCACTAGGATTGTTGAATGGAAATCTGAGTGTTTATTAAAAACCAGTTTTATTATTATTATTACATGCTAATCACTGTTCAAAGTCTAATACGCTTCTGACACTCTCCATTTTAGTTATTTTTCACACAGACAAGTAATACTTGTGCTGATACAATTTATGCATTTTACCACTCAAGTTAGCATTGATGTTGTACAATATGAATCATGTTTTAGTTGTTTCTGTCAATACTAGATAATTGTATCAGAGTGATTATTTAAAAAAACAAAAAGGAAGAGATCTTGGAGATAAAGGTTTCTAGTCGATCACAAAAATATTATTGTTATTATAAGCAAGCAGCTTATGTATCTTAATTTTGATTTGAAGTGTGGCTGGCACTTTTTTGAGTAAGTTTTAAAGTAAATGGCAAACATTTGCCAGTTGCCTTAAAAATTTATTTGAAGCTCCATAGTTATACCATTAACAAGATCTGCAAAATACAAGTTGAGTAATGAGTAGGGATGGGGGCTTGATGTAAGAACGAAGGTCACACGTTCTATGGCTATTGATTGCCACTGTAGAACTTTAAAAAAATGAGATACAATGTGTGATTCACTGTCTCCCTGTCATTTACAAAAGCTAACTCCCTTTCTTGTATGTTTATATTGTTTAGACTTTTGTTAAATAATGACAAGGAAATGTCATAAAAAATTACTTGCATACAGTTTGCAGTTTTTTTTCAGGAAGACATTAGCATTTGGTTACTCCAGATAAGCTTGCAGCAGTCTATTGAAATTAAACCATAGTCTGTTGGAATATCTACTAAAACTATTAACAGAGAATACGGGCATAAGTTTGTTGGTAGACTTGTGTATCACACAGGGTTAGGTTGTTCTGTGTAAGTTTTCTAGTAAGGAATGTTAAACGTTTCTGTAGTTAATGTGTCCTGTTTTGTGTTGTAGAGATACCTACCCAATGTTACTAGTAGCCAACAAGGTTGATCTAGTCCATCTTCGGGTTGTAACAGAAGAACAGGGACGCGAGCTTGCAGTTCAGCTCAAGGTAAGAAGAAAAGGATTGGGTAGAAAAAGTAAAGATTCAGTTCAATTATATGTAATTCAGAATAGTTAGTGTATATGAAGGAAATTTACATTTCTTTATACATCCGAATGTCGTTCCTTATAATGTTAACTGAATCAAAGGTTTTAGTATTAAAAAAATTGTTTTTATAATAATTTAGAAATAACATAAATAGAAAAGATGCATAAAACTTTTCTTAATTTAGAGTTTGGAATGTTATCCTTCTGTTTATAAACAAATTAAGTTAGATCCAAAAACAGTCTTTTCAATTTTTATTCACAAAATGTCAAAACCATTAAAACTTTAAAAATTGTACGTAATCGTTTTATTAGCTAACTTAGTAACCTGAAATAAAAAGTTGATTTGTGTGCTGAATTTTTTTTTTGTTTGTTCTATGAAACTAGCTGTATTTGCATGCTACAGAGATACTCTGTAGTTTTAGATTAAATAAAAAATCTGAAAAATTCTATATTTTTTTTAGATCCCTTACATTGAAACAAGTGCCAAAGATCCACCTCTTAATGTGGATGCTGCTTTTCATGAAGTGGTTCGAATTATCAGGTAACACTGATACTGAATATAGCTTTTAACTTTTGTAAGATATGTCAATGCTATACTGCTGAATCAATGGTTTTTGCAAGAGGTTCTAATACTATTTTTTTTAAATCAATTACCTTTGACAGAGATTTCAATGCTATACTGTTTAATAAATTATTTTTGTAAGAGATTTCAGGGTTATACTGTTGAATCAATTACATAGGTCTGCGATGGTTTTATTGTCTTGAAATTTTTACACGTTCTATGCTAATTCCTGTACGCTGAATCCGAAAATATCCATTTTTCTCCATTACGTACAGATTTTTCCCAAAACGTTGCAATGCAATACATAAAAAAAAACAAAAAAAACACAATACGTGGTTTGAGATAAAAAGATGTAGATTTCACACACAAAAAATCAGAATGACTGAGGATGCATATTTGTTTGACGTCAATGTTCTTCCCTTTTTTTCAGTTTGTTTGCATTTTTGTTAGCAAACATAATAATAAAAAATGTTCATTGTGATAAATGAAATAATAATTTGATCTAAGTAAAAGTTTTTGTTCCTTCTCGATTTGTAAAAAAAATCTTTACATCATAGAAAAAAATTAATATTATATACGAAATCTGCATAGCTAAATTATGGAAAATCCATTATTAAAACCAAAACAAATTTTATGAAGTTTAAATTTGCAGGCCTGTGTTATTTTTGTAAGAGATTTCAGAGTTATACTGCTAAATCAGTGATCTTTGGAAAATATTTTAGTATGATACAGCTAAGCCAATGTCTTTTGAAAGAGATTTCAGTGTGATACAGCTGAATGAATCACCATTTAAAGATATTTCAGTGTTTTACTGCTAAATCAATGAATTTTAAAGGGATTTCAGTGCTATAGTACTAAATCATTACACGAGTATATAAAATATTTATAGACAGTGGTGGTTACAAAAAGGAGTTTTTATTTGTTTTAAGAAATTTGTAGTTGTTTTCTTGATAACGTGTTGTCTCAAATATTCAATAAAAATGTATTTTCTTAATTAATCAGTATCTTTTAGCATTGAAAAAAATACAGTTATTTACTGTAAATATATAGATTGTACGAACTTATGTGTAAAATCTATTATTTCTAAGACTTTTACAACATTTCATGTAATAGTTTTAGATACATAATTTTTTCGTGTAATTGTACCTTTTATTGCATTTTGTAAAGTATCTTTAACTTTTAAAAAATTTATTACTCTCGACACGTACAGAAATATTGCATTATCTGTTGAAATTAATTTGTTCATCAAAGGCCTTTTCTTGGCTGAGCTGGTCTAAAATAGCAGGAAGAGTCTGTTATTAAATTAAAACAAAAGAAAAAATTAATTATTAAATGTCCTTTGAATTTTTTAGTGTAAGCTGAAAACTAAAGCTGATGTGTTAGCCTTTTGCATAGTGGAATGATAGATATACAAAATGTCCGTAACATTTATACTTCCAGTCATTAGACAGATCGCTGATCAGACTCGGTTTGGGTGGTTAACGAACCTTCGGACTGTGGGAAGAATTCCATCCAATGTACTTGTTAAGTTAACAAAATTTGAAATGTAAAGTTAGGGTAAGGGAGGTAAAAGGAAGATGGACCTGGTCATTAATTGTTTCAAAATAATCAGAAGAAATTATATTTTAAAGTGTCTTTTGGGTGTTGTTATTATGATTACTCTTCCTATCTCTTTATTAAAGAATCGAGCCAAAACAGCCCATTTTTCTTATGCTCCGGGGCAAGATAAGTAACCCTCTGTTGGAAAACAGGTTGAAATAAAGTTGTCTGCATGATTGTTTTTATATCAGAACAAAACTTGGTAAGATGAAAAACATGCTTGATAATGAAAAAAAAACTACAACAAAAAATATGTACAACAACTTTAAGACGTAGAAATTTAATAAGTTAGTTTTGACCAATAAGTTGCAAGTTGGATCAGTTTATAATATATTACAATGTTTTTAGAGGTATGGTAATACTAAAGTTGTGTAACTGAGATGCCTGGAGGGGGGGGGGGTCACCTGTTTTAACCACTTGCACCACTATACAGTAATGTGTTGTCAGTCAGTCGGTAGACACTAAAATGCCATCACATAAGGGATGCTTAACGTTGCTACTTATTACTATTTTTTAGGAACCAGCCACCACCAGTAGATAAAAAGAGGCGGAGAGATTGGTGGAAGAGGAATCGAAGATGTACACTTTTGTAGTGTTGATTTTTCACTGTGCTTGAGAAACTATCCAGATACACATAACCTGGTACAGAACATCCTTCCATTGAAGAGTCTCATAGTGACTTTTGTGCAACAGTTAGTTTTCGGTGTTGTAACTTTTTTTTGTTCACATTAATTCAACTGACAAAACCACAACAAGGCCTTTTGTTCCATCTGTCCAGCTAGATCTCCAACTTTCTGGTAACCTCTTTATCTAAATTGGACATACCACTTTCAAAATCTTAAGACCAGTGCCCCTCTGACCTTACCGAAAAAAAAGACGCGTGTCTTAATACATAAGAGATGTTACAAGAAGCTATAGTGGAAAGAACTAAGATACATTTTTACACACTTTCCATTTGTTCCTGTAGAGCTAGGATGGCACCTAAAAGGTTTTATAGAGTTTTGTATTTTATACTGTTTTTTGAACAGTTTTGATAATGGTTTATTGCATTTTGTGTGTTGTTTATTAGTGCTGTGCTACATAGAGCTGCTGCTTTCAAATGGTGGACATATTGACACACACAAACACACAGAGGAAGCGTAATCTTTTTTCCAATAAAATATTAGCTGCTACAACTAAGTTAAGTACTGAAAGAAACTCGCAGAAAATATTTATCAAAGGATGTAGAATTTATATAAATGTTTTCAATATTTTTGTCTGTTAATTTCTTTTGAGCAGGCAGGGAACTGAACTTTGTTGATCATCAGAAAGATGGTATGGCTACTGTTAAACTATGTTTTTTAATCACTGTTATTTCAGATAAATGGTTATACACTAGCTGCAAATGTGCTTGTTAAACTTCTAACTTCGTTTAGTGTTTTTCTGATACTAAGAACCTAACTGTCATATTAGAAATGTACTCTAGGATATTCATGGAAAAGTTGATATTGTTCTGGCTCTTTTAGATGATGGTGTGATTGTTTGCTTGATGATGTAATGATGTTTGGAGGATATTGTGTATGATGTGAGGGATTTTATTTGTAATAACACTGATTGGTTTTAGCAGGTCTTTTCTTGTGATTTATAAAAAAACAAATCACCACCAATTCCCTTATGAAAATGTGTAGTTGATTATTGTTAATAAACCTGGTCATGTGAAGTGGAAAATTGTATAACTTCTCGTGTTACCTTCTTTAGTTGTATTGTTAGTCTTTCGATGAAGAATGTTCAGAAGAAGGACTGTTTATAGATCTTATCAAAAGTGTAATTATTAGTATTCTTATTTATCTTTTGACAGTGTTTGGTTCTGATGTATAATCCTTTACTCACTGCTAATAACCTAAAATACTTTAGGTGTTTCTATAACATCTAACATATCTTCACAATTGACTATTCACTATTACTCGGCGGACTAACTGATTATTTATTTAATTATGAATTTTCTTTCCTCACCCAAATGTTAATTTTGATGGAGAATAGAGGGCGTAGAGGTCTAATCTATTCTTTGATTTGCTGCTGCCTCTGAAGCAGACTAACTTGGCCATATTCGTGGCTTCTCGGTGGTGCTTGGTCTCAAAAAATAAACAAGGCGTTTATGTCATCTTTTCTTCACTGAAATTCATGTATTGGTGAGGAAAGGAAATATGTAAATAAAAGTATCTTCCTTTGTTGTTTGTTCTTGAGTTATTTATTATAACCGTTTCCACATACATTATATGAACTAAGGTGGGTCGTTGAAATTATCTTCTTTCAGTTGCAGTAAGCTATCTTGATGTAAGATTTAAACTAGTCCTGTAAGTAAGTTGTCTATTAAGTTATTTTGGTTATGGTGGTTAGAATACGAGGTCAATACGTTTTATGTAATGTCTTTCATCAGAAGTGTACATTTAATTTACTACATAATTAATAGTGACTTATAGCAGTGGGCTTCAGTCTTTCCTATTCCACAAATTGGCAAAATATTTATAAAAGTTTAGGGACTTTTAGGAATACATAGGCCTGTAGTAGAGCATATAACCTATAGAACAATAGGTTTGAAGTACACAAAATGTAGCTAGTTTTACGTAGGGTTGTAAAAATAAGTTTGTAAGGACGTAGAATATGAATATTGTTCAGAAATAATTGCACTTTCATTGGATGGTTGTGCAAAATGGAAAAACACGTGAATGATTCAGGATCCATGCACCAGAGGTTGGGAACTACTGATGTAAAGAAAATGTTCGTAGCAATACTTAGCACAGTACTGTGATGAGATCTCCATCATTAGCTTTAAAATATGGAGTTTTGGATACATGAAATTCGGATCCATGCACCAGAGGTTGGGAACTACTGCTTTAGAGAAAATGTTTGTAGCAATACTTAGCACAGTACTGTGATGAGATCTCCATCATTAGCTTTAAAATATGGAGTTTTGGATACATGAAATTTAGCATCATGAGATCTTTTTTGAGTATCTTCAGTCAAAAATCTCAAGCTACACGACGTCATCCAACTTACAATATTTAGTTCCTGCTTATAAACTAAATGAGAGATGTAAACACGTTTTACCTTTGTGCTCATTATTAATTCTATTTGCAGAACAGTAAAAATATCTGTAGTTTCTAAAAGTGTTGTATAAACAAGTACATTATTTAACCCATTGTTGTTATCTGTGTTGCACTTCTAATCACGCTGAAATAAATAACCAATAATTTAGTGATTTATAAACATTAAAAATAAGAATTATTTAACAAGATTTTCTTAAGTAAAAGTTAATTTGAAGAAGTAACTTTATGAAGCCAATATTATAAAGATGGAATTGTGCTAACTAACAATATAAATGTTTAGATGAGTACAGTAGATTATGGGTTTTGACAGTTTTTTAAAGTAGAGTTACATATGGTGAAATATTATAAGACAGGTACTTCAGTCCTTAAGTTTTTGCTAAGAGCTGTAGATGAAGGCTTTCATGTTACGCTTCTCTTGCATATTACTTGTTTATGTTGTCATGGTGAAACTTTAAGTGTAGGAGAAACACGTTTCAGAAATTGGGAAAATATACACATGTGTTTGTGTGCTGACAAAGTAAATTATACTGAGCTAATGATGCAGAAAAGTACACTAATCTGTGAAACCGGATTCTCAGTTACATTACAGTTAGAATCGGTGATTTATACGGCTATTGCTGATACAAATCATGTGGCAATTATAACAAACTTATAATTCAAACCATATAGTGGCTGTAATTACAACACAGAGCACATGGTTACTAAAATTAACCAGCTGGTGTTACAGTGCACATGGTTACTAAAATTAGTCCGCTGGTGTTACAGAGCACATGGTTACTAAAATTAATCAGCTGGTGTTACAGAGCACATGGTTACTAAAATTAGTCCGCTGGTGTTATAGTGCACATGGTTACTAAAATTAATCAGCTGGTGTTACAGAGCACATGGTTACTAAAATTAATCAGCTGGTGTTACAGAGCACAAGTATATTAACTGAAAGGAAGTGGATTATTAAAACTAATACGACCAAAGGTTCTCGGCACTACATTATCAAAATACTGTTTGAAACAAATTGGTTAAAAAATAAAAATCTAAACTGATGTGGTTACTAAGTAAAGACTTGGAAACTTGAACAGTTTGATAAAGATTCTTTTTATTTTGCAAATTTGTTGATTTAATTTTCTGTAGCTCTAGTTGGAATGTTTTATAAATTCTGAAGTCAAATTGCACCTTTTAACAAGCAAAGTTCTTTACTTCTGTGTTATTTAGTGACCGGAACTTCATGCTATTTTATTTTGGCCAGTTAGTATTTTGATCTTTAATGAAAGTATGTTAATAATAAATTTTAAATTTTCAACAGTTTAAAATTTGATACACAGGACTTTTTAATGTATTCTATGTGGTCGCATTGAAAGTGAAGCAAATTCTATGGCTTTTATTCTGCAGTCATGTTTTGAAGTTGATGAACCTGAGAAACATGAATGACTTTTAGGCATTTTTGTATGACTGAATATATTATTTTGTGGTCATACTTTAACTGAACTTTTAATTAATCTTTCAAACCTGTATCTAACAAGATTTAAATGTTTTAAACGATTTGTCTGTTTCAGTAGATTCACGTGGTAGATGTCAGTTTTCATCTAAAAACTTTCACATCTGGCCAAAGTTTAGGTCCAGGAAAAAAAAAAAATTTTCTTTAAACGTTGATTTTATTTTTAGTTTGTTCCTTGGAAATTTAATTGCACAAATAGAAAATTTTTTACTAAAAACTGTTAAAAAAATATTTTTAGTTCTTAAAATGAATTTTTTTGCAGTTGGCTGGTTACTGTGGTGGAATCATTTTGTAATATGAAAAGTCTGCTGTGGTCGTAGTGTGTATGTATGTACTGTTGTGTGGTGCTTTACTGCTCATATGTGTGCTTGTTTGACGAACATTGGTTCTTATGCACGGTAAACAAAATTGTTCAGCCGATACGTTTTCAATGTACTTCTGTTTTAAGACATGATTCAGCCAGTTAATATTGCATCACCATGTACGTATCCAAGTTTTAGTTTTGTGTGTTTAATTTCACAAAAATCTGACTTCAAATAAAGAAATGTTTCCTGTACATTTTTTTTTTTATTCTTATCTATTTACCCATCACATACTGTTCAAAGTAACTAATAAATATATTCAACTGTTGTTGTTTTTTTAAATAACCAAACATTCTAGATAATGCCAAAATTATGGAAAAGAATTCCAAAACAGTTAAAGATTGTCTATCTTGTCATTACAGTAAGTACCACACATTTAATTTGATATACAAATGCTGAAATATACAATGAACAAACACTGCAAAATGCAAGTGCAGGGAGAAGTCTTATAGTCTGTTTCTGCAACATATATATTTTTATTAAGCTATTTCCGTAAAAGGTGAAATAGTAAATAATGTATATTTTGTTTATCAACATACCAATACTTTGTTTTTCCTGTAAAATAAAATATAACACTGTATTACTCCTCTCCCCTAAGAAAAATAATTATGATGGTTGAAAATTCTTAAAAAGAAAAGACATGAACGATTGAACTTATCAGTGTCATCTTAATTCTTTAAGTAAAGTTCACTTGTAACAAAATCAAAAATGGAAAACATTCATCCTTGGCATCATGTTCACAAGATCTAAAGGTTGGAAAAGTGACAGCACTCAAAATGCAAGTCTCGGCAACTTGTTCATAATGCAAAGAGGTATCTTTGTACCCAGATTAGAACTTCTAGTGACTTGCTCTCCTCACCTAAGTTTAGCAGTATTTTTGGTAAACTAATAGATCTAATTACTTGTAAAGCTTTTTTTTTATTTTTAATAGTGTCACATTTAAGAAATAAGTGTTGTTTGGCGTGATTCCACAAATTCTAGAAAGAAAGTACAAACTACAGTGGTATGAATGTAAGAATTTTTGTAATGAGATTTCCTATGAATTAGTGGAGCCAGAAAGGAACATTACATTATATGCTTTGCCTTATTTGCATTGGAATTATAGCCATTTTTGTATAGTAAAACATCTTGTTGGATAGGAAGGTACCTTCACAGATGAAAAACGGATTTAACCATTGTGAACTCTTGGTGATATGAAACTTTTAACATGGAAAAAATCTGAAATGGATGATACATTAAAAAAAAGACTACAACTTAAGAACTGGGTGTACCAAAATTATTAAATTAGCTTTACAATAAGTAATGGATAAATACCAGTTTTCTAAGAATGGACACCCAACAAACAGTCATTTTCACTGTGTTGAAAGATCAACACTAATACCACAAACATACCAAAGTTAAACGTTGTTGGGTAAGATGTTACAGAATAATGAAAACCAAAATGCAATCCAGATAATTGAAAGGGTCCAAAGACACAGGGAAAAAAAGTTAATATTCTTGAAGGTGTTACATACAAATTTAGTGACAAAAACCAACATACGTTTCATTATTTGCTGGTTCAATTTTTTTTTTTTTAATGTTTACTAAGAAATCACATTCAATCATAAATTAGTTGAAAAACAAAACTTAATCGTAGCCAAATATTCTTTCCCATACAAATTTTAAACAATTTCAGAAAAAAATACTGTGTTGCTTCACACGTGATCCTTCTTCAAAATGTTAAACAGAAGACTGGTTTATCACGATCCAAGTAAAGTCAATTTTAATCATATAGTTGTAATGTACAAATATTCTGAAAGTGAAAAAAAAAAATCACTTATCATCCTCTTTACCCATTTTAATTTTATGCTTATAATAATTTATACAGTGACAAATCAACAATTAGATTACTAGCTTTAATCATATTTTTTACCATTAAAGAAAAACTGTAGTCAGGGAACTCGTAGTAAAGTGTGAATGTAAGATAGACATGATATTTGGAACATCACTCTCAAACGTATAAACGAACTTGCTATAGGAAGCACTATACCACATGAGATGACTCCATCCCCTCATCTTAAAGGCCATTACTACAAATTACTGTAACAAATAACTAATTTGAATCAGAATTTATTACTGCAAATGGCTATTAGAAGGAATGACAAAATTTAATCACCATAATACTCGTTTTAGAAACAGTCGCACAAGGATAACAATAATCTTTAATTCCAGACTGACACAGAATATAGCAGCTGCAAATTTGAAGTGTACTTCTTCCCGAGTTTGAATCAGGACCAATACATTCCCTTATGTTTATTTACCTTACATATTTATTGGTGTTTTTTAGGATGAGGGTAAGCTAGTAACGTTTGTTGAGGTTGTGTGAAAATCATTACCTCGTTTGCATATGGTGCTGGGCTGATGACAGAGCGTGATAATTTAGAGTTCTAATGGTTGGTTTAAGAGCCTGTTATATCTATGTTCTACCTTGGGTCAGTCTCTTGTATGAGTAGTAGAAAGAGATATAAGGATGTATTTAATGACTGAAGTTAAGACTGACGAAGGATGTAGAACTGTAAAATTTAATCCTATTACTCTATAATTTTCAACCCAAACTAATACATTCACTTATGTTTATCTACTTTATATGTTTTTAAAATGTATTTCTTTACTTTAATAAATCCCATTCAGAAACTTAGTATGCAAGTTAAGAGACAGTGTTCACCTTGCCCAGTAACACATTTTAAAATTGACCATTAAATCAATGCTTTGTCTAAACTTCAGTGTTTTTATAAAATCACTAGATGTTACTTTGGGAACTTAAAATATATTACTCTCTCATTTAAAAAATATCGTCATCCTAACTCCATGACTTATGGAACTCTTATACAGTCACAACCTCTGTTATTGTTGTGCATATCATACCTGTACCTTGAGTTATGGAATTCCTGTACAATCACAACCTCTGTTATTGTATTGTGGTCCGTTGGTAGGGAAGGTAATAAAGCATCTTGATGAACAAGTTTCTTAAGTTAAAAAGTTTCAAAACAAATATTACCAGTGGTTGATGGTTTAAATAATAAACATATCAAATGATCATGAATGGTACCCTTCGACAAAAATGGTTCAAGTGTTTTAATATATATACGTTGTGGTGCTTTTCTCAAACTGGTTTTGTAAAAAGGAATGCAAACACTTGATAAAAATATCTCACAATGTCTGCAATGCATTAACACATTTACATTCAAAGTATAAATAATTTTGTATTTCACAGCATACGTCATATACATAAATAAAAAGGTAAGTATTCATGCTTCGTTCATCACTCAGTATGCTTCTACTTAATGAATGCCCAAAATACAAAAATCTTTCTCACTAGGATTGTTGAATGAAAATCTGAGTGTTTATTAAAAACCAGTTTTATTATTATTATTATTACATGCTAATCACTGTTCAAAGTCTAATACGCTTCTGACACTCTCCATTTTAGTTATTTTTCACACAGACAAGTAATACTTGTGCTAATTTATGCATTTTACCACTCAAGTTAGCATTGATGTTGTACAATATGAATCATCTTTTAGTTGTTTCTGTCAATACTAGATAATTGTATCAGAGTGATTATTTAAAAAAACAAAAAGGAAGAGATCTTGGAGATAAAGGTTTCTAGTCGATCACAAAAATATTGTTATTATTTAAATACATGTTATCAACATTAAAACAGGATGTTGGGCATCTGACTACCACAGTCTTTTAGTCAGTTTTGCCAAGTTTGTGTATTTACCACCGATTTGGGCTTCTGTTCTTGCTTTTATTTAAAGTTGCTTTAATACATGCTACTATTTTGTGTTATTATATACCATATTGGCCTGATTATAAGGCAATGTTTTTACATTTGAAATTAGGCTGTAAAATTCATAGTCACCTTATAATTGTGGCCAACCACAGGCCCCTTCCCCTACTATAGCCTGTCAAATTCCCGAATGTGCAGATAGCATCCGTCTATGCATGCGCACCAGATGTTCGCTCAAAGTCATTGCTAGTTCTTGCAACTAATCCACCTTCAGGCTGTTCAGTTATCGTACTGATTTTGTGGACCTAACAAGTGTTGTTATGACATTAAATTTTTTTCTTTCCCGTGGTTTCTGAAAATAGGGGTCGCCTTATATTCGAGATCACCCTATAATTGAGCCAATACGGTAGTTTTTTAACAGAACTACACCACTTAACATTAGTTGGCTATAGAGCAGACTGCATCTGTCGGAAAATCTAGCAACCCTGCTTCTAGTGCTGAAATGACTTGACAAAGAAGTACGTTAAACATTTTCATTTTGGCTAATTAAAAATGTTTCTATAACAAAGTGATCTACTCTTATTCTGCTAGTTGCTCCTTATCTGCTTTCAATTCATGGAGGAAGTCCAGCCTGCTTGTATAAGGAATATGGGACATCCTAAATAACACTTCATTATTACCCGTTGCCGTGTACACTTTCTTCCCATAATTTCCCATCAGATGTCTAAGAGCACGATTTCTTTGAAGCATCTTCTGGTAAAATTCAATCCCCCCTTCTATATAACCATTTCCAGTTTGTGCTGCCATTTCATCAGCATATTTGTCCCAGTATAGACTAGCATTGTCTTTTAGTGTGATAAAAATAGCAAATCCTAATAAACCACACAGGGTATACAAAGTCAGTCTTATGGGCATTCTTGCCAATCTGATCCCATACTTTGTACTTAAAGCACTGCCTAGAGAATAAGCAGAGGTGGTACTTAAAGAAAATAATCCTCCAAAAACGTAAACATAGGAAGTTGTTCCAAGATGGATTTCTCTAGCAATAGCAAACTTCTGTGCATTTTCTGACAGAATAAGAGAATCCAGGAGCTCCTGTCCAGCTGTCGATCCCCATTTAGGTTCAGAATTGTTGTAAACTTGGATTTTTGAATGATCTATTTCTTCTTTGCTGTTATAGCTAAAATGATAAGGCAAACCAATTATTGTTCCCATTTTAGTGTACGTACTTCCAGCATGGAAAGTATCAAATCCAAACACTGTAAAAAACCGTGCTAGACCTTTTTCCCGATCAGTTATTTTACATTCTTCAAGAACCTGCAAAACAAAAACAGATCATTAGTTAAAATCCTCTCCTCATAAATCTGTGTAAGTTAACATTTGTAAATACAATATACTTGCATTTATTACACTAATAGCTAGTAGAAAAGTGTGAAGTAGAACTATCATACTGAATATTCAACTTACAAAACGCACTATAGTTACACAAATTATTAATAAGAAAAATAATTACCAGCCACATACATATACACAGTAGAAAAATATATATCAATTCAAAATTTTCTTAGAAAAACATGTAAGATCTCAAGCAATACAAGAGCACAATTTTAGAGAACATAAAAAAGTGGGCTACTTTTCCTCTGCTAGCTGATCCCTATCCGCTTTTAATTCGTGAAAACTATCGTCTACTCTTAGAAGGAACATGTAACACTTCATTATTACATGTTGCTGTTTACACTTTCTTCCTATAATTTATCATGATTTATGTGTGTGATGCACTGATCTTGATATCTCAACTTCACACTAGAATAAGAGCTTTTAATTTGTGAAAACTATCGTCTACTCTTAGAAGGAACATGTAACACTTCATTATTACATGTTGCTGTTTACACTTTCTTCCTACTATAATTTATCATGATTTATGTGTGTGATGCACTGATCTTGATATTTCAACTTCACACTAGAATAAGAATTTGTTGTGTTGATCTTAATATTCAGTAAATATACAAATATGTAATAACAGAACCCCAAACACAAACACGCTTAATCTTTTCTTTAGACTATATTTAAAAAAACATCTTGAATTTTACTGACCACTGGGGGTAAGAATATATAGCAGTATGTCAACAACTCTATATCTGCTATATTTAGTGCCAATGAAGGCCTTTGCCAATACCAGGGCTCACCACATCAGCTGCATAAGACAGACACAGCAGTAGTTGAGACGCTACGGTTTACTACTGGTCAGAAGACAAGTTAGTATTAGCTGTTCTAATGTTCACAACAAGAACTGTTCTTGTGTTAACTAAATTAAATTTGTTTTTATTTTTATACACCTCATTTACTAGCCAGAATTAGGGCAGATAAATAACTGTCTATTTATCTTACCACCAATTGTTGCTACAGCAGTCACGGTAGCAACATCAATGGTAAGCACAATCCAACCAGTCACAATGGGGGGGATCAGGGATGTAAAGCACTGCCTCAAGCTGCCACATGTTGCAATCTTTAAAAAGCCTGCACACACTCATGTACATTGTTCTAAATTTCATAAATTTAATGTCAAACTAACTAGTTTTAATGCTATACTATAATAAAGTGTAGCTCATGCTTCCAGATCATTTTCATTACTTACACACACGTGTACTTTCTAGTATGAAAATATCCAAATCTGATCGGGTATCTAAAATCCGACCAATACTACCACTTGTCCCATCCATAATTAATACACTTAATTTACCCCTATAATTGCAACATTTGAAGTTGGTTTTTTTCAACAAACATAGAAAATAAGTTGTGACAAAAATCACCTTCTCAGCTCTGTCTTTTACTTCCTTTTTCAGAGGTTTCTCAACTCCCATGCTAAAGGAAAGAACAATGAAACATCAACATGAATTACTTGCTTCGATGTAATCAACAAAACTTACTTTATTAACCTTTCTATTTTTTCTTCATTATAAGAAGCTCAAATATTAAATTTAAAACAATGGAAGGAAAAATTTAGTCCAAACTGGGATTTTAATGTAATTATCTACTAATTTGGATTAACCCTCCATACAAATGTGCATGTGTATTGTGTTGACCTTAATATTTTAACTTCACACTAGATCGTTAATACGTTGTGTTGATCTTAATATTTTAACTTCACACTAGATCGTGTATACGTTGTGTTGACCTTAATATTTTAACTTCACACTAGATCGTGTATACGTTGTGTTGATCTTAATATTTTAACTTCATTCTAATTCGTGCATATCTTGTGATGATCTCAATACTTAACACTAACCAGCTGGTGTGTGCTGTGCTTATCTTAATATTTTACATAACTTAGCAGATATACACAAATGTAACAGATTAATGTAACAAACATGATTAATTTTTCCTTTAGACAACATTATCATAATGATGAATTTTACTGACCCCTGACGATGTTGAAAATATAAGAACAAGCATAAACACACACACATTTGTAAAACACTTAAGCCTTAGAGACTTATCTAATATTTGGAGAAAGCAGATAAGATACTTTAGAAATCAGGATTCAGGTTTAGTCATTGATAAGAAGTATAAACTTTTAAAAAGGTTTATTTGATAACATGATGTTTGCCACGAGTTTAAATTTTTTGAAAAATGTATTGGATGAGTACAAAGATGTGAAGAGATATGTTTATTTGTACCTTCAATACTTTGGTTTGTTATTTTTAAGGTGGAAAGGTAACGTCGATGTATTCGTTGAAAATACTCGTAATAAAACTCATGTTATTTGAGAAAACATAAAATAAAATTAGTTTACTGGGAGAAACACACAAAATATCAAATGGGGAAAAAATCAAACTTAATTTACATAAAAAACTGAAACATGGAATTACTAAGTATCTCTTTAATTACACAAACAACATCCAGGCTTTAAGTCGTTTCCACGTGAGGGTAAATGTATACCACTCGTTCATATAATCCTAAGTTTAAAAAAAATTATACAATGAACGATAATTTAAGATTTGAGAACTAAAATCACAAATGTTTACCAATTTTTGATGATTAATTAATTGTCAGGCTCGTTAATCGATTACACTCAACTCAACGATCATTCTTACAAGAGAGTCGGATAGTTTGAATAATCGAAAACAGCAATAACTGGAAACACTAATTTTGACTAGTTGATTATTTCTGTGACATTAATTAATTCAGTCACCCAACTCTACTGGTTACAGACCAAAATTAATACTTTTCCATCATTTGTTTTTTAACTTTATCTGACATATTACTTCTATAAATCGCTTTATTACAACAGTTTTACTGAGAAGGAAAAATACCAAATTGATGTGATTTGATCATAAAACTTCATTTGTAACTTAACATGTTCATTTAATGTAGAGTAAAAATCATGTGGCATTCTAAGCTCATCATATATGTTGTAGAAGAGCTACCAACCTAAAACAATATGTGTTAAAACATTTCTGTGGTATGTCTTTTCTAATCGTTCTTTGACTTGGACATTTAACAAGGATTACCTGTACCTAAGATTTGTGCTGGTAGAAAGGACAACTGAAACTTTATCAAGGTTTTATAAAAACACAATAAATTGATAATACACTATATTTAA